TCTCATTCTTCTACTCATTTTCTACTACACATTCCTCAATAAAATAATATTTTCCATCACATCAATAACTTTTTCTTCATTTTCAACCACATATTCCCCATCACATCACTTCAAAAAAATGCACTCTCTCATTTTAATGTGTACCAAACAGGCTCTAAGAATGCATTCAGCAATGAATCCGCAGAATCTTGCAAGTCTTTATTAATTGTTCTGATACCTTTTTGTTGAAAGAATTTTTTTTATCAGCCTCAGCATTTGAAGAATAAGAGAGTATATTCTAGCATAAGATCTCTTGGTTGCAATTTCATCCAATGGTGGATGCTGATGATTTGAAGACAAAACTCATTAAGCTTGCCTTCATCGCCGAGTGCTATTGGATAAAGTGTTCTTAGGCTTTGCTCTATGCGATTATCCCCAGGGGACCTTTTAGACCTCGATTCACTATCTGTAATTTACAACATGTTCTAGTTGTCACATATTGCTATGGTTGTTCAGCAGAAATGTCAATGACAAGCCAGAGATGGAGCCCGTCAATCACAATGATTGGCCTTCTTTTTTCATTTTCTCTTAGCTGTTTCAAAAACTTAACCTTATAGCTTTACTATCACTGGGTTGTCATGAACTTCTTATGTCTAAATAACAGGGGTTTGCAATTACTATCCTGCCACAACCATCACACGTGCACTCTGGCTTGCATTTCTAGTTTAAACTAGTCAAAGGCTCCAAGCATTGATTTTTGAACATTTTATAGGATATATATGATTGGAGAAATTTTCTTTTTTAGGAAAAAAAAATGTTGTACTTCTGAAGAGATGTTTGGGACATTAATGACAATAACCTTTTAATATTGATTTGATTAACATAGACTTTTTTATTTTTTATTTTTTGGTTACTATGGTGATAATAAATACATTGAGGCCTTACTGAATTTTCCATCACTAGTTTGGGGTTTTCTACAATTTTTAATAGCTTGGATCCTCTTTGGTTTCTAGGTATCGTGCGATTACCAGTGCCTACTACCGTGGTGCAGTTGGTGCTTTGCTTGTTTATGATGTAACAAGGAACGCCACATTTGAAAATGTTGAAAGGTGGTTAAGAGAGTTGAGGGATCACACTGATTCCAATATAGTTGTCATGCTTGTTGGGAACAAGTCTGATCTCCGACATCTGGTGGCAGTCTCAACTGAGGATGGAAAATCATTTGCTGAGAGGGAGTCACTCTACTTCATGGAAACTTCTGCACTGGAAGCTACTAATGTGGAAAATGCTTTTGCTGAGGTTCTTACTCAGATATACCGTACAGTGAGCAAGAAGGCAATGGAGACAGGCGAGAATGGAGCTGCATCGAATGTTCCTTCAAAGGGTGAGAAAATCGACGTCAGTAAAGATTTATCTGCTATGAAAAGAGGTGGTTGCTGTTCGACATAAACCATGCCTTCATGTACACCAAAATTTTCTTGCTAAAGAAGATGATAGGGAGAAATGTTTTCCTCTATATCAGGAGTCCTGGGCAATGTTGCTTTTGCAGGCAAAGAGTTGTTAGAAACAGCAGGTTTTATTTCTATCGCTTTCATTATAGATGGAATTCTGATTCAGAAGTTGTGGAATTATTCAATTTTATTGACATTTTGAAACTTATGGTGCATTGGAATCAAAATGGGTTAATATGTGATATTA